CGAAGAATCCAAAAACTGAGAAAATTCTCGATGCATTAAAGTAAAATGGGGTCCACGTTTAACAAGAGCAAAACTAAATCAAAATGTCTCTTTACAAACTCTCACACAACTCATGTAGTAAAATTCAAGTCTCATGTATCCAGTCGTATGTGTGTACTTTCCAAATAAATAAATCAGACAGCCCTTTCTGACAGGAAGGACTGAACTAACAATGAAAACGTATCTATCCTCTCTTTAAAGCCAGACTCCATTGACAAAAACTGTAATTTTACCTGGCTGACCACAGGAGCTGCTGGTCTACCTCTGCCTCCATCAGTAGTTTGTTGTCTTGTTGTGTGACTTTGGTGAATATGAACTAACCCATTAAAACACCAAAGTCACAAACTGATGGAAGCAGCGTCAGAGCCAAAGGTCTGTGTTTGAGTTCTTTTACTGTCGTTGCTATATTTTTGAAGTCTTTTTCTAAGGACTATAGAGTGGAAGAGAAGAGCACACTGAAACCAAAATATGTGCCAGTGGATAAATCAGTGGAGAATGGACAGACATGTTTAAACATGCATCACTGTAATAAAGTGAGAAAGAAACACTGAGTGTAGATGTCAGGAATCTGAATGTGACCGTGACACCCGGCTGTCACCATCACTAGAGACTGATGCTTCTGACAGCTGAGTCACAGTTACACAACAACATGTAGATGTTCACATCTAAAATGCTCTTTTATGCACAGCAGAGACAGATTCCAGCTCATGTAGATAAGATATAAACTCACCAGCCACTTTATTAGGTACACCTGTTAATGCAAATAGCTCATCAGCCAATCACGTAGCAGCAACTGTCATGTAGACATGGTGAAGACGAGCTGCTGAAGTTCAAACGCAGCATCAGCATGATGAAGAAAGGTGATTTAAGTGACTTTGAACGTGGCATGGTTGTTGGTGCCAGACGGGCTGGTCTGAGTATTTACTGGGATTTTCAGCACAACCATCTCTAGGGTTTACAGAGGATGGTCCCAAAAAGAGCAAATATCCAGTGAGCCAAAATGCCTTGTTGATGCCAGAGGTCAGAGGAGAATGGCCAGACTGGTTCAAGATGATAGAAAGGCAACAGGAAGTCAAATAAGCACTGGTTCCAACCAAGGTGTGCAGAAGAGCATCTCTGAAGCAACAACACCTTGTCCAACCTTGAAGCAGATGGGCTACAGCAGCAGAAGACCACACCAGGTGCCACTCCTGTCAGCTAACAACAGGAAACTGAGGCTACAATTCACCAAAACTGGACAATAGAAGATTGGAAAAACCACATTCAGATGGAAGCATGGATCCATCCTGCCTTGTATCAACGCTTCAGGCTGCTGCTGGTGGTGTAATGGTGTGGGGGAGATTTTCTTAGTACCAACTGAGCATGGTTTAAACACCACAGCCTACCTGAGTATTGTTGCTGAGCGTGTCCATCCCTTTATGACCACAGTGTACCCATCTTCTGATGGCTACTTCCAGCAGGATAACGCACCATGTCACAAAGCTCACATCATCTCAAACATGACAATGAGTTCACTGTACTCCAATGGCCTCCACAGTCACCAGATCTCAGTCCAATAGAGCACCTTTGGGATGTGCTGGAACGGGAGATTCTCATCATGGATCAACTGTGTGATGTCATCATGTCAATATGGACCAACATCTCTGAGGAATGTTTCAGCACCTTGTTGGGTCCAACCTGGTACCAGCAAGGTGTACCTAATAAAGTGACTGTGACTTAACAATCATTGCCCTATGATTTGGCATTATTGTATTATTATCCATTATTTAAACATGTGATTTCATTAAATATCCTTTAATTAAACTAAACAATTGAGTTTCATGTTTTACAGTGTTGTTACATAAAAGTCTTTTTATTAGGAACAGGCTCATTGTATTTCCAACCAGCCTGTGGATCATCCTAAAACTGTTTGCTCTCTTTCACCTCATAAGCGGCGAGGACCAGATGCACATGAGGTCATTTTCTCTTTTGTTACTGACACATTCATTAAAAACCCGACAGACAAAGAGGTTTCCAGGGCGCAGGCTCCACTGTTTGCTGTTTCAAATTTCCTCCTGCTCCGTCCACTGAGATCCCAAAGATCTCATTATGTTTTCAGAGAGACAATAAAGGCCAATCTGCGTCAGCCCCGTATTTGTCCTGCATAAACCGGCAACGGCTTTGTTTAATCATGAAGAGGGTTTTTCTTTGAATGCAATAATAATAAGGTCATAATGAATTCCGGCTATGAGGACTGATAGAAATTCAGCTCACTGCAATATCCAAGAGAGACGGTGGAAAACGGGGACACAGTTAATATATATTTTAGATCCTAAATTGTGGTTAACAGTATACTGGATAACAGACTGAGAGGCTTCACTAAATAAACACATTGAAATGGACCTCTCCATTAAAGCCAGTGTCCAAATGACATGTTTACATTGAATGGGGTTTTAGAAAAGCATCCCATCCTGCTTTGTAAAGCTGAACTCTGCCATGCTGAACAAACACTGCATGCTTTTCATTTCCATTCACGAGCTAAATTAACATTTCTGAGCAAATAGACTGCGCTTAATATAGCTTCCACCTGCTCTCATAATTATACTAATTAAACAGTCCATACATACTGCACTGTGCGCTCTTAAGCAGAAGACACGTGAGCAGGGAACTCATCTGCAGGTGATCATATGTCATGGTGATACTTTGTGTGCAGATCAACAATGACTCCTCTGCTCACCATCCAGCAGTGTGTAGGATATCTGTAGTTGTTGTTCAGCGTGCTCACTGTGTGGGGTTACTCTGCCTGTTCTAGTGCTCGGTACAAACATCCAGCAGCTGCTGGAGGACACAGACGTGAAAGTGGGCCAGCAGCCGCCCGGAGATCTGAGGAACAGATGTGACTGAATTGTCTCTGGTTTAAAAAGTCAGTTTTCTGGTAACATTTACTGTGGGTGATAAAGAGGACACATCCTGTTCCATCTTTAAATCATTTCAGTGAACTGATCGGGGCGCTCTAACAGGACTACGGTATGTGGCTGCACATGTAAATCTGTCTTTGCTGGAAGTGAGACTTTAAGCTCCATCGGCCATCCAGGTAAATTTGCAATTTGGAACTTTGTCTGGAAGATTCCAATATTTTCACTGTCAGCTCAACAAATTTGAACATTACACATGTTGTTAATACCAGAGACGTTGAAACAGAGTGCTGCAGGGATTGCTTTTTTTTTGTAGACCAGCCCAGAAGTTAGCCTCGCTCGGTTCCTGGGGAGTTTTCTGTTGGATCTTGGATTTCTTCAGAAAGTTTCATGATACTTACAAATTTTGTCCAGCAAGATAACTTTCATAAATTAACACTACTTAAGTGATATCTGAGGCATAAATGCAATCACCAGAAGTCATTTCTAGGCTATAAATAAACTACACCACAGTTCCATGACTTCAACGTGGCCATCACCCTGAGAGCAGCAGAGTAAAATTAAGTGAGGTTGGCAGAAAATACCGGTAACATAAAAGGTAGACGGCAGTGTTGTTCAAAGTTAAAATATTCTAACCTTTTGTTTTCCTCAAAGACAGAGGCCAGGCCGTATTCACAAAGCTTCAGAGCACAGAGTTGCTCCCAGTGACAACATTCACAGAAAAGTCTAAGAATAGTGACATTTTCTTAGACTTTCCCCTTAAAGTTAAGACTAGGTCCTTGTAAAGATAAGTTATTCACAGAGCATCTTAGACCTTAAAAGAGCTCCAAAGGTAAAAAAAACTATCAGGATCAGGGAGGAGGGCTTTTAAGAGGCTGAAGAGTTTCTTAATCAGAGGAGAAAATGGTGGAAACACAGAGGTCAGAGAAAAATTCACCAAACACTGGATGACAGTGAGTAAATGAAATGATATAGAGAAAATGGTGCAGGAATAATATCTGTGGTTGATGTCATCAGGGATACACACATTTCCCACCTAATGCTATAACGTCAGAGATAAAATAATCACAACACTAAGATATTTGGAAAACTGGAAAAACACAACAGTGCAGCAGTGATGACTTGAGTCTGTCTCAACCTTCCATCAGCAGTGATCACACTAACACAATCAGCACTTCATTTCATGTCCACTGGGTGTCCACACACCTTAAAGTTTCTTTATGCTTCTGCGTACACTCGACACAACGTGCACGCAGTTGCTGTGTGCCTATCATAGTTCTGCGTCCTGTTGGTCTATGTAGCTATGCAATTCCCCGCCAAAGCGCTTGAGGGAGAGGCGTTCTTTTATACACCTACCTAGACTCTGTGACGTCTATGGTCGCTGCTCATTCATTGTTTATCTTCTGGCTTTGCTCTAGTCACAGTGAAGATGGCGACCGAGAGATAAAGACTGTTGCTGGAGCTCGAAATGATCGACATTGAACAACAAATGCTCTTGTTACAAGTGCTACGACAACAATGATGAAGAGAGAGCCGACTGCGCTGATGGTCTGTACGCCCGTTGAATGGCTTGACTTTTGAAACTACTGCAGCAGGAAGTGAAACCTTGCGAAATGCTGGAAATTATGTAGTTTGAAGGACCAGTCATAGCTCTTGAGTTCTGCATTGGGTCTGCGTTGGGTCTGCTTTGCCTCGACGCATGGTTACAATTTTTTGGAGGTGAACGTAGCATCTCTGCGTCGGTCGTAGAGGGATGCAATGCCTCTGCAAAGTCCTCTGCGTCATAGGTGCGCAGTAGCATAAACCTTGCTTTACAGGCTCACACGGGGCGTGTCTGTGACAACCAATCACATCTGTTAAGAGAAAGCATCACACCTAGCAACAGGGTCGACCCATATGTTTTGTTTTACCGCCCTGCCATTCTGTCGCACTGTTTGTTTGGTTGTTTGTTTTTCCTATGTTACCCAGGAGTGTTGTTTGTCTACCTGAGTTCATGTGAACGCAGCCTGAAGGTTCAGAGTTCTTCAGGAAAACACTTAATAGACATTGACTTCTGTTTTGGGCAGAGTATAGTTAGTTTAATATTTTATGTATGAATTTATAAATACCACAAAAGTGTTACTTGTGTGTTACAAAATAATATGCAATTTATAATATAAAATACAGTATCACTACAGCAGCAGGACTTTTCCTCAAAACTGGACCTATAGTGTATTATTCTAATTACACATGTGGGAGAAACATAGCAGACCACCCTGCCCCCACATGTAATGTGTTTAGAGCAGGTCAATCATCTTTGTGCAGAGATGACAACACCTCCACCTCCAACCGCCTCTAAAAGTGAAATATTCAGGCTGCAGCAAGGTCGTAGAGTTCGTTCCAACGTTGGGCGGACACATGTGAAACTGAGGATTTCGGGTCCTCTGCCAGAAGGTTTTGAGCGTCACCAACACCTGTGTTTTCTGCATCAATTCATGGTGTTAGAATCCTACATTTTGTCAAAGTCCTCTGCTGCTTTCATGTTTTATTAGGGATGTAAAAAGGGAAAGTGTCCCCTGCATTCCTTCCTGAAATCTACGCCTATAGATTTACTGTCACATTCTCTTCCAGAGCTTTAAACCACAGTCATTTCCTCCATGCTGTAACTGAAGCCACAGACATGCAAAGTTGCAAACAGTGGCTCACAGACTCTCCTTCGCAGGTGATCTGCTGTATCACCTTATAACAGAAAAGTAGCAGTGTCATGGTTGTAAAAATAAGATGCAGCAAAGTGAAAGCTACAGAAATCCAGGACATGTCAAACCCACGAGGAGCAGGAGCAGCAGGAAGACGGCTGCCTGTGACAGAGCGCCAGACGGCTGCGGGGGCTGACCTGATCTGGCTGCAACTGGTCGGGTGAAGATGTACGGGTGTTCCTACGGATGAGACCCGGAGAATATGGTGAGAATCACTTTGTGTTGTGCATGTTAAAGCATATAAATGATCAAACTGCTCTTTGATTACACACCATTGGGGAACACTTTACAAAGCGTGACAGAGTTTGATACTGATTTACAACAGTACAGCAAACATGGTAAAGCAGTTGCAAACAGGGACGGCTCTGCAAAGTATTTGTTGGTGTATTTAACGAAGCTCTATGCAAAATCTAGAGCGTTGTCTGAGTTGTCTGCAACACACAGCTAACAGCTAACAGTGCTAACTCTATTAAAAGTGCTAAACAATGGCAACAGTGATGGTTTTAAGATTATTTTTTTGGCTTTTTGCCTTTATTGTATAGGACAGACTAAGCATGACTGGGGGAGAGAGAGGGGGATGACATGCAGCAAGAGGCCGCAGGCTGGAATCGAGCCACCAGGCGCCCCCAAGATTATGCTTTTAACCAAGGGGGAATGTGAGTGTGCCCAGTACACTTCCTTGATGATGCCATCCCGGTATCAGCTGTAGCCACCACTTGAGTGCAGTGCAAAGCGAAGAAAATGAGCTAGCCATTGGGACGCACACATGCACTAACATTTCAACCAGGACAAACCACAGAGAAGCTCTGATTACAAGAGGGAGCATGACTTCAGTCTCTGCTCAGGATGCCATTACTCCACTATATCTTTACATAGCAAACACTAGCTACGTTTCCATCCAAAAGTGATTTGAATCATTGGGAAATGTACATTAAAAGAAATATGAATCCTGTGTGTTTCCATTAAATGTACGGACTTTGGTGTAAACTACGAACTCACGCGAGTTTTCCACAGAACCGGAAACAAAACACGTCTTGCATTCTTCTTCTTCTACGTTTTCTGGCGGTTGGCAACCAGCTTGTAAATGCATTACCGCCTTCCCGACCCGGAGTGTGGATATCACCATGGAGAGAGGTGCACTACGTCAGACTTAATTCAAACATAACTGTTTCCATCCCCCGTTTTGCAATCAACATTTTTTTGAATCAACCAAAAACCTTTCCATCATAATTTTCCGATGCGATATTTCTAGATGCGCATCTAAACAGGCTGATGGAAACATGGCTAGTGGTTTGCTGCTATATTAATGCTCTGAATGTGTCATACAGAACCTAAAATATGTTCTGACATCTGAGTCAGACACCAAAAACAAACCCAGAACTCAGAAGATGGACAAAAAGCAAACATGTACATACACAGTGAAAATTATTAAGTGAAACTAGTCAGTTTGATCATTTAAAACTTTTCTGTTTAACAGCAAAATAACTGGCAACTATGTCAGCGTAACTTCCACAAAAAACCCCAATGGGATTTTATCAGCCTCTTTAATGGCCATCACCAGTTGGTTATGTTGTTTGTTAGGTTTCACTTTCCTTAGGTTAAGGCACCAAAATGACATGGTTAGGTTTAAAAAAGATCATAGCAGGGTATAAACTGGCAGAAATCCCTTTCTGGAAGAAGCTTTAAAGGTAGGATCTGGAGGATTTTCAAACAAAAAAAAAAAATAGACATATACAAATGAAATCCTGCTTAATCATCACCTATGGGCTTCTACTCATGTGTGGTGGTGACTCTGTTTGCAGAGCTCCTGCCCTTTAACTGTTTTTTGATGTTTTTGTGAGCTCAGGCCACTTCTGGGCGGAGATTTCCCCAGCCAATGAGAGAGTGCAGGTGCCGTGCCCGAGCGTGTCCGAGCGTGCACCAGCACGAGCCTTGCCTGAACCTCTTCTGTGAAGCCTTCTTCCGTACCTCCGTGCTCCGTACACCCAGGAGAAATGGCGGATACAGACGTACCCACGAAGAAAAGGAAATTCAATGTGAGTGAGGCAAAACGCCGAGCCGATAAAGCACGGGCCAAAACTCGTGTGAATATCGGGGTGGCTTTCACCCGCTTTCGAGCATTGAAGGAGAGGCTCGGGATGTACAGCGACATGGAGTTGGCCTGCTTTCTGTTGGATAGGTAAATCCCAAATACAGGCCGGTTAGCTCGTGCTAGTTTGATAATTTATCAACTTTTCCATTACAACAACTGTAATTCCTACGTAGTTTGTTGTGGAGGCTAATTCCGACTATCAACCAATGCAAACAACTTTACGTTTAGGTAATATATGGCTTGATGTAGTGTGAGGATTGAGCTTTGAATCATTTTGTGTAACACACAACTGCCGGGAGGGGTAGGGGCAGCGCGCAGTTGAGCCTGATAGGAGGGGCCAAATTTGAATGTGTGTTTACAAACAGCAGCTGGAAAATCCTCCAGACTCTACCTTTAACTTCATGGGCTGATGCTGACCTTCTTTACCTAATGGTAGGTGTGGCAGGTCCGTACTATATCTCTGATGCTCATCACCGCTGATAACGTCCATTTAATGGCCTGATAACAACCAAAGTGGCTATAAAATCTAAACTGGGACTGAATATCTATGTTACGAAAAGTTGAAACCTCAGCAAAATGATTTTCATTCACTGCTAAAATCCGTGGAATCAATTTGTCTCCTCAAAGGGAGGAATCCTGTTTTTACTCTCAACTCATCAAATGCTGCCACTTTGTCAAGGAACCACACAGACACGGACACATGGAGGCACCCTTCGTAACAGTATGATACGCACCTGGCGGCAGCAGTTTGAGAGTAGTATGAAGACTGAGAAAGTCTGTATAAGTTTGGCAGGAAGAGAGGGGAGGGGAGGTGGATGGATCAAACAAACACCAGACTTTCATCCGGGGGCCCGCTGTTTGTTTCCCGTGAAAAACCAAAATAAAGTATAAATAAGTATAAATTACCGTAGTTAATTTTCAGCATGCTACGCAAATGATGGATGTCACATGATGTTACATTACCTCAGTAACATCTGAACATATTGTCGGCCAAACCATGATATATTTTTCTAAACCTGACCGTGTGCTTTTGTTGCCAAAAGTAAACCTAAAAACAAAGTGACTTACCTTCTCTGTACGTTTATTTTGAAAAAGATAGGATGCATGTAAGGAGTGGAAAGTACAGTATGCATTTCATATGAAAATGGAAGCATAGTTTGAAAAGACACAACATATGTAACGAGCATCAATTGGCACCATCCCTGAAAGTCCAACACAGACACCGGAGGGAATGTAGTGCATCATATTTTGACGTGCAGGTCCACTGACAAAGCAGCAGCATTTGACGAGCTGAGATGAGAACATGTCGGAAATTAATAGAAAAGCCAGCTAAAGACGCAGACGCTGCTCTGGTGTCGTAACATTATCACATAGAGACTGGTCTTACCAAGGGTGGACAGATGAGACTGATGGGGTCAGAGAAGCTGCTCACAATCATCTTTCCTCCCTCAGGCTGAAACTGTGAGCAGAAGACACAGAGAATTAATTCATGGAGGAAATAAAAAAGTTCTGTATTTTGAGATATGTTGAAGGTTTTTGTCGTAGTTGTAGTAAAAAAATACTGATTAATAAAAGCCGTCCTTCCTTTTCATCTGCTTCTGATCTACAGCTTTCTTCTGTTAAATTATTCATTGTATTTAATCCTGCTGTGACATTTCTTCACATAATAAACCCTTGTGAACTGCAGGGGGGGTGATTGTTGACCTTTAACCTCCTGTGCCATTAAATACAAGCAGCGTGACTCATTGTTCACCATGTTGTTCCACAGTCCTTTAGCCAGCTCCTCGTGCCCCTTTATGGTGAAGTGGAAGCAGTCGTGAGTGAAGAAGGTCATATCGATCTTCCCGTTCTGCTCAGGGAGACAAAACACACACACTGGTGTAGATTTACTGATGGAGTGTGTTGTTGATTTGTGAAACGTGACTTCGCTCTCACTCTCAGCCTTGTGTTAACAAGCAGCTGTCACTCGGCATCTTAATGATTCAATCATTACTGTGCTGAGTGTCACACTGATTCATCTCCTGACATCTCTGCCACCGTGATGCTGCTGTGGCCTTTGGAGTGAGGATTGATTACCGGGAGGCGGGGAGGGTCAGCGTGTTTCAGGAAGGGCTGGAGAACGACGGCAAAGTCCTTCCTGAAGAAACGATCGCTCAGCAGCAGCGTCTCGAGTCTTTTCTGTCGATGAGAGAAACACAAAAATCAATTCATAGGAACAACAAGCATGAAAAAAATGTGACAGAGTTGTTGGCATGAAATCAGTATGCCGTGTTTTGGGGTCCATACACAACTTTGTACATTTAGTGTTTGATTAGTAGATGCACTTTCAAAATAAAGTGAGTTATGATCGCACAGGATAGTCAATAATGATTTAAAGTGTTGTTTCCCATCATGGATAACATCCACCTTCCATTAACTGAGAGGTATTAACTGTACCTGGAACTCCAGATTGACTTCTATCAGCTCCCGAAGCTCAGGAGACTTGGCTACTGGCTCGATCAGGCACGAGCAGAAAGACCTTAATTAAAGGAGATTGCAGGAAGGGCCACAAGAAAAGAAAGAAAGAGAGAGAGAGGTCAAACAATCACGGGATAAACTTGAGGAATCTGGTGCAGAATTAATTAAGTGGTGTAAAATGTTTGAAGTAACTCGTGAGATGTTTTTTTAATACTCAACATTGCAATACAAAGAGCACAAAAAGGGCCAGGGCCACATGTAAAGTACGTATACAGTAGTTCATGCCTCTGCTGCAGGATTTGGCTTCTTTAAAGATGCCCTTCATGCGTTCTTCACTTCTTCTTTCTCACTAAAAAAATCCAGATCACTGTATATTTTTCAAAACTAAATACTGGACACTAGATGTCTCCTACATTACAAAGAGGTCCATTCTTAGTGTTCATGCACTGGAGCGTTCACAATTTAACAGCACACTTATATAAGTTGTGTAAGAAACCTTTTACTGCGGACATCGTGAAAAGTCGTAGAAGTTTTTAAAACCCTGATGAAGACGTGCAGTGGCTGAAACGTGTTTGCCCTTTAATGATTTAGCCACTACAATAAAGGATTTTTTAATACTTCCTTCCTAATTTTCTATATTTCTGGAGGGCCTGGATTGCCTTCCTGTGTATCCTATTATTTCCTGTTCTTCATGAGCACCCAACACCAGGTTTTGATCTACGTTTGATTATACAGAGCAACCAGTCGTCTCTCTCTTTTCCTAAGGAAGTGGAGTTTTGTTCCAGTCATCCAGATGAGTTAGCAAGCTTTGAAAAATGAATCAAAACTGTTGGCCAGCATCAAAATGTCTGCTTGTTGCATGTTTGGGTGTCAAAATCAATATTCCAACAGCAGACTCAAGAAGAGGATCATCACCGTTTCAGAGCAACAAGTGTGTGTGTGTGTGTGTGTGTGTGTGTGTGTGTGTGTGTGTGTCCTGGTTGCTCCTAAAAACAAACAGAACATGTAGGTGTCGTCGCAAAAACCTTCAGTTTTAATTGAATCAATATTAAATATTCATGTTTATTACCTACACTAACCATTTAGGTAAGTTACTATGCAAACATTGCTGCTGAAACACTGGTGCCATCTATGGCTGCAAGCTATTAAATATGTGGACTACCACTGGACTGAAGACACATTAAAACAATCTCTGTAAAACAGAAGCAGAATTTATGTTTGTATAACAACTCAAACTTTCAATTTCAAGCTAACTAGCAACCTAGCAACACAAGATGCAGTTTCCTGTTAGGATGTAGCGTTGATTCATCATAACCCAAGCCTCATACGGGTCCATGTCATTGGTCCGACATCCGATTAGTCCGACGGTCCGCGGTGCTGAACGGCTCCTGGCGGGCGTATTTCTGCCTTGATGGTGCGCCGCGACCGGCTCTGGGTCAGCTGGCAAAGGCTTGAGGCGAAGCAGGCTCACAGCTTATTTGTTTGTCACTTTCTTTTTCAATTTAACCCACACCATGATCTTTTCCTGACCCTAACCAAGTGGTTTTTGTGCCTAAACCTAACCAGACCTTAACCACAGGGCATCATGATGATGTCGGAACGGACTTCGGAACAATGAGTTTAATATGGTCGGAACAATGGGCTGTTCCTGCCTCATACATAGCAGTCTTGTGTCCTTGTCTTTGGTTGGGGAGGATTTCTGATTTCAAGACACAAATCAATCCATGTCATGGTGTTTGTTGGGTTTTATGAGCTTTTTCTGAGATTTGAAGATTAAAAATGGTCAAACGGTGTGCATGGGGTACATGCAACTCTGACACAAGGTATCCTGAGAGGCTGGGCGACCAGGTGTATTTTTTACACTTTAAACCACATCTCAAGCGAGAAAAGTGTCTCCTTTGGATAAAGTTGTGTGGTAACGTTAGACCACAACATCAACTCAACGTGAATAAGATTAACAATGATGTCTACATCTGTTCTAAGGTAAGTCAACATTGTGTTTGAGGCAACATATTGTCACTTTGCTGGAAAGAAATATAAAGTTATCTTTAACATCTCTAGCTAACGTTAGCTAAAGTTAGCCTAACGTTAGCTCCTAGCTGCGTTGTTCATCATGTCACCTTGTTTGCTGGGAGTTCATTAGCCTATTTTGTTCTAGTTTTGTACTTTGGTGATCGTACATCATTGTTAGCTGTTGTCCAAAGGGCTCTAGTTAAGCTAACGTTAACTTCTGGAGCTTAGCTTCATTAACTTATCTGTAATGGCAGAGATAACAAAGGTTGGCAAACGTTATGCTGAATGATTCAGTGTAAATACTGTAGCACCAAACTAACGGAGAGACACTCTTGGTAAAGATGGTAAAAAGGCCGTTATCCTTTTCTCATATTCTGAGCCAAAAACCTTAACTTCAGTGGCACTTTAACTTGTTGTCTTTGATGGGGACTAGGGCTGCCACGATTAGTCGACTAATTGAAGACTAATCGACTATTAAAATAATCGGTGACTATTTTAGTAGTCGACTAATCGGTTTGAGTCATTTTTCATAGAAAAGTACTATAGAAGTACCCAAAATACTCTTACTGCAGCTTCTTACGTTCAGATATTGGCAGCTTTACACACTCTCCCGTGACACTGAACTAAAACCCTTTGGCGTGAGTACGAAACAAGACATTAGATGACGTAATTTTGGGGTTTGGGCAAGACAGGCCGACATTTTTCAACATTTTAACACATTTTTCAATGAAATGATTAGTCGACTAATCGAAGAAATAATCGACAGATTAGTCGACAATGTAAATAATCGTTAGTGGCAGCCCTAATGGTGACGGCAACCAGATGCGGTTCACAAGCGTACACTGTGACCTGTAAATTTTGGCTTGTAATTTAAGCTTTTCATCGACCTTCTCAACAATAAAATGATGAATATATCCCTCCAATGCGTAGTTTAGGCCCTTTTGGTTACTTCTCAATGACATCTGATCGTTATGTCTCCAAAAATCATCAGTTGCCTCCTGTGAAATGCCGTGTACTGTGACACCTGCCATAGCGCCGCTCACTGAATGTTGATAGTTTGTCTGAGTGAGTGGAGGGGGCGTGGCTTAGCCATAGGTCAATTGGTGACTCTAAATTGTCCGTAGGTGTGAATGTGAGTGTGAATGGTTGTCTGTCTCTATGTGTCAGTCCTGTGATAGTCTGGTGACCTGTCCAGGGTGAACCCTGCCTGTCAAGAAATGATAGCTTGGACAGGCTCCACCCCGCAGCGCCCCCTAACAGGATAAGTGGTTACGGAAAATGAATGAATGAATGTTAAGAATGAGTGTCTCACCTTTGGAGAAGGCACCCTGGGGTGGGCTTCTGCACCTCCCTCAGAGTCTGCATGGGCAGGATCTGCACGACATTAACGATCATACGAGGAACCTGAAGCACAACATGAAGAAGACGCCTGCGCTGAATCACCGCACCATACTGAAACCTCACTGAGACCGAATGTCTCTTGTTTCCTTTTTCTTTCACTTTACCTCATTCATAAGCATTTCCAAGGAGACGGTGATATAGTGAATGAAGTTATCCACTGAGAACAGAACCTGGAGAGAACATGGAGACTCTGCAGAGATTAATAAACACATCTGTCATTCTGTAAAAAGCCTTTTTTTATTGAAGTAAATGAATTTCAAAGAATAGAAAGACAGACCTTATCTTTGCAGTAATCACAGATGTCATTCATGCCCATGAGAATGGTTAAAAGCTTCCAGTCCTCCTCGAAGTTCAGACCCTGAACAAGAGACAGCAGAGGGATGAGAGTTTTTCTACAGGAACACTTTAATAGTCAGCTCTACAACCTTCATCATCCCTCCGTTATATTTTTTTTTAAATAAACAGGATATCACTGTACCTCATAAGCTCTCAGCGTGTCGATCAAATGTCTCGTCTGACCGGGGAGATTGCTAGAAGAACCAAACAACAGCATATGTCATAATCATCATAAATACTTAATAACACAAAGAAGGTCACAGAGCGCATGTTGTGCCGATCGAAAACAGTTCGTGTCACACTGATGAGTCATTACAAGGTGTTGTGTCCAGTCACAGCCAGGTTGAAGCCTGTCTCGCTGATATGAGCCTGCATCCCGTGAACTGTCTTGCCGGGAGCAGCGCCGAGCAGATTGGGATTGAACAGCTTGATGATGTCTAAAAAACACAAGTGGAAGAGAAACATGTAAAGATGATGCTGTGTGTATTTTCTTTTGCTGACTTCGGTTTATTGGGTGGTCTACACATATCAAACACTTAAATGATTTTTAAGATATTTTTTTAATCAAATTGAAGACAGATTTTTCTGTTTCTTATTTAAGCATTGCAGGTACAGTGGCTTGCGAGAGTATTCAACCCCCTTGGCAGTCTCTTTATTTTGTTGCCTTACAACCTGGAGCTATATCGTAGGCAACTGGACTTGTTTGCATTTCTTGAACACGTTACGCCTCTCATCCAAGAAGCTCCTTCAGTTCTAAATGACTGGTGCGAAGTCACAGGCTTTAAACTCTGTGTGGGTGTGAACCCTTACAGAGTTGTTGTGGTTACATGTGAGTCGTTGACCCACCTGGCCACCATGTAAGTCGTTAGGGTCAGGTGGGACCAGGTGTGAAAGGATGTGCAGTCGTCTGGGGAGGGATCCCAAGACTGCACTGTTTAACAATGGTCGATCCAGCTTGACGTAGATGACTTCTTTCACGCCTCTTTCAAAACATCTTCTCTGGACAAGATGTGAACATGCTGTCCTCAAAAAGGTGTCCCTTCTCAGCAGTATCCCCAGCAATGTTCACATCTGGGCCAGAGAAGAAAGATGGTTTAAAGCCTGCAACTCCGCATCAGTCATTTAGAACTGAAGGAGCTTCTTGGATGAGAGGCGAAACGTCTTCAAGAAACGCAAAGCAAGTCCAGTTGCCTACGATATAGCACTTAAGATTACCATGACCTGGATGACTGAGAATCTTGGCAAACATTTTACAACCTGGACTTTAAAAGGAATTATGGGGGATTTGTATCATTTGATTTACACAACATAACTCCCACCTTGAAGATGCAAGAGTCAATACCGCTTAAAACCACCTTTTGCAGCGATTACAGCTGCAAGTCTCTTCGGGTACGTCTCTATGAGCTTTGCACAGCTAGACACTGGAATTTTTGCCCATTCTTCACAGCAAAATATCTTCAGCTCCTTCAAGTTGGATGGGTTCTGCTTGTGTACAGCAATCTTTACGTCATACCACAGATTCTCAATTGGATTAAGGTCTGGACTTCACTGAGCCATTCCAGGACATTCAACGGTTTCTCCGTAACGCACTGGAGTGTTGCTTTAGCAGTGTGTTTAGGGTCATTGGCTGCTGGAAGGTGAACCTCAGTCCCAGTCTCTGGAAGACTCAAACAGGTTTCCCTCAAGGATTTCGCTGTAATTAGCGCCATCCATCTTTCCGTCAGTTCTGACCAGGCTCCCAGTCCCTGCTGATAAAAAACATCCCCACAGCATGATGCTGCCACCACCATGCTTCACTGTGGGGATGGTGTTCTCAGCATGATGAGAACTGTCCCTTCTTCCATTTGTTTGAGGAGTCCGTTACATAAAATCCAAATTAAAATCCATTTAAATTCCAGGTTGTAAGGCAACAAAATAGAGAGAATACCAAGGAGGGTGAAGACTTTCGGAAGGCACTGTGAATATAAAGTAGTATGAATGTGGTCCCATGCAGAGGTAGATTATAGGAATAAGGTTATTAAAGTGAGTCAGTTTAATCTACAATTTACCAACAAGTAATCACAAGTCGTAGATGTAAAGAGAACTTTCACATAGAAGAGCTCGACTCACTTTTACAAAAAGAAATTAAAAGATGGATAAATGAAAGTAGATAAAATGTTTGTGGTGATCAAGACCGCAAATTCAAGACTATTTAATGACTTTTAAGACCTAATTATATTAGTACACTCACAATAATACAATAACACAATAATGTGTAGTTATTGCAGAGATATCGTCCCTGATTCAAACATCTTACTTGCCAAAGTAATGACATCCTCAAATGACCCGTAGCCTCCGATGCTGCAAGATGAAGAGATGTGACAGAAAATTCCATTAGTGCCAAAACTAAATATTCAGAATATTTTACAGCAATATCTACAAACTGAAAATATAAAAACACTCTAAAACAGTCTCATCTGGGGCGTCAGTGGCTCAGTGGTAGAGCAGGCGCCCCATGTACAAGGCTGTTGCCGCAGCAGCCCGGGTTCGACTCCAGCCTGTGGCTCTTTGCTGCATGTCATTACCCCTCTCTCTCTCCCCCTTCACACTTAACGATCCTATCTATCCATCCTAAAATCCATCTCTGATTTAAAAACACATATGTTTGACCGCCATTTTGAAACCATGTAACATATCAAAAGCATGCACATCACACAGAAAATGTTGGTGGTCCATAGACCATCTGATAGCAGGGGTCAGGAGCACGATGTGTTGAACTCACAAGTGCCACTAATCTAAACATGTGCGGCAGACTGCAGCCTGAATAGTTAAGCCAGAATGCCTCTCAGAAAATCAGGGGCTCCTTAAAGAAAATCCAGGGTACAGAGAAAACCAGAAAAAGAAAAGGAGCAGAGAGGTGATGGCCAAATGTCTGACCGAAAAACATGTGAAGAGGCAGAGCTGAAGGTGAGAGCTACAGTGAAGACACAATTATCATATTAAACTAGAGGACCTAAGGTGTCCATCGCTACCAACCATGTTATGCTATTGCGTCGCAAACTGGGCCAAATAACACCCCAAACCTGTGCTAAATTTTGGCGAGGGAAAAAGGAACATTGCCATTTTTCAAAATAGTGTATTTGAATATTTCTGCACACTGGGGTCCATAAACAGTGTTTGAATTATGTACACTGGGTGTAACTGGACAAATGAGACTTGACAGCCATATACTCTTTACACTGTTTCAGTTCTGCACACGATTTGACCGATATCTAATTAAAGAAGCCCTCAAGACTCAATGAATAAATGAAGAAAACTTATTTGTTCTCTCATGAATTGATCTTATGTTATAACACCCTGCAGTCATTTCTACAGTCAGTGTTTGGCATTACTTACTAGGTTAGGGACACACTTGTGCCCATGTGCATGGAAAGTTTCAAAGGTTTGAAAAGGTGACATGTTGTGTTCCACCGTAAGTATTAAGTATATGATTCTGAATATTTTAAGTCAACATTTCATAAGAAATTATTAATAATCATTCATATTTAAAGTAGAAGTGAAATTTAGAAGCACACTGACTTGTCCCTGATGTTATCTGGCATTATCAAAGGGCCCTCAGGCTCAAAACTTTAACACAAAATACAGTTATATGGCACATTTAATGACTCTATATGTATCACTATTTGACAAAGGCGCAGCGTAGTGTAGAGTTATGAGTTCTACTTATATCACATGCTGTCTACATGCACCTCTACAGTAGGAATTATTATCTGCATAGAAGACCCAGCACATGTTTCACACATAACTTCTGTTACCTCCACGAGACGTGACGAAACTCAATGGGAATCCCGAGGACAGTGGTGGCGTTGGCACCTATGGCCGTCTGAAAGGGAAAGACACAGCGTCTGATGAGATTATATCATCAGAGCCTCGACAAAAGAAAGAAATCTCGACTGTGTGTCTGTTTCTTTGAGGAGGTCAGTCCGTCCTTTAAATGACATCTGTTGCATTTCTGGTATTGTCAGCTGCACTTTGTATCTTTGTAAACATGCTGTAAATGTAAACTGACATTTACAGCTGAGGTAGGCAGAAATCTGGAAAAGGGAAAACAGAAACAGCAGAATTTTGATCTAAGCCCCTCCCACCAGATGACCACGGGCATATACATGCGTTTCATACAGTAACCCAGTGTTTCCCAAACACTGATTTATTTAATCCCATTTCATTGTATAGTTGTCTGCAGCTCATTCACTTGGCTCCTTCTTGCCCTGCTCTCTCTGTTTATGAGACTACAAATTAGCTAGCTAGCTCGCCACTCCACGGTCTCTCTGCCTCGTTACCTGCCGCTGTGGAGTGCTTTGCTGGGAGGAGAGCGGGCAGCAGTTCTGAGAGGTGGTCCATCAGTGGGCAGCTCTAGAAGCTTGAATTCGGCCAGCACAAACCCACTGGCGCTGGGCGTCACAGCACGCTGGTGGCCAGGTCTGTCCCATGTAATGGCAGCAACAGAAAGTTTACTGATCCAGTGGGAAGGAGCTGGAGTTTGTGCTGGCTGGAGGTCAGTCTCTAAAGCTTCTGCCCGCTCTCCTCCCAGCCAGGTGGTCTGTAGCGGTGGGGTGTGCGGTGGAGGACACACTGTGATTCAAGGCTTTAGCTAACGTTTGCTACATAAACATGAACTTGAAGCCACAGCCGTGAGCCTTTGGCTACGGTTAGCAGAATGCTAAACTATTAGCAACATTTTCTCTCCCTCTCTTAAACCGGTGGCTCCCAACTGGTGGATCAAGGTCCAAAAGTGGGTCGTGGGCTCATTCTGAACAGACCGCAAGTGACTGGCAAACTTGTCAAGTTTGTAAAAAACACTTTAGTTTTGAGAACAGTAAATTTCCGACACAGAGCTTTTATTGTGAAAGGCTGTTTCCTTTGTAGAGTGAGTGACTAACAGACAGCAACACCAAAAACAAGTATCAAACTATGTGGACCTTGAACTAATGAGAAATCTGGACCCTGTGGCTGGACCAGTTGGGAACCACTGTCTTGAAGCTTTGACTGAAGCTTTTAAACCCAAAGTAAACTGCCTTGCTTTCACAATTCACGTTTTTGCTTTTTAAAAAAGCCAAAAAGCAAACTGAGAACAGTAGTCTGGCTGCACTGCTGTCACTGCAACATTTAGTCATCATGACTTTAATTGCATATTGTATTATTTATACTGTACTGGCAAATAACACCTACTGTCAGAGAATCCCCCAAGGCAGCGATGACTTTGATATCTGCCGCCTTCACATATTCAACTGGAGATGGAGACGCGAAGAAAGAAGAAATGAATCAGAAGTTTCAGCTCTCAAGTAATGGATTGATGTGAGGCTTGGTTTGGGGATGAGACCTTGACAGACCTGAGGTGGGGACAGAGTGAGAAGGACTCATGTCTGGACACTGGAACACAGGATGCTTGAAGCTCACTGGTCGAGTTTTCTCTGGAAACTCCTGACGAAGAAACAAGAGACACTTCATCACTGTCAGGCGTCAAACTTTTGAGTCTCCTCTGTTCAGATAAGACTGAATGTTTTCTATATAGAGCAGCTTTGAGATTAAACCTGTCTGATAGCCAGCACAACGTTAGCTTTTCACTCACTGACCCTTTGCACTCTGTCTTTAGTTGATGTGTGCATACTCCAAATACCTGCTGGTCCATGTGGTCAACCTGTGCCTCTTATGATAAAAGTAGGTTACTCATTGTTACACAGTTTTGCCCATTGATAAAGCTACCAATCAATCAATCAATCAATCAATTAAACGAGGAACAGAATTTAAAGCCAGAGAACAAAATAATATTCTGCCATGAGAATTAGATGTTAAATAGTATCCAGTGTCTAACAATGACAGCACTTTTATAGTCAGTGGTAAAAACATGTGTACAACAGTACCTTGTTGAGGGCCTCCTTGCTGTAGTGCCGTATCCCCTCCTCATACTCCCACCACCAATCGTTGCCTCAGAGAGAAGAATTATTCCCAAAGTGTCCATTTAAAACTTTTTAAAATGGCCCAATAAGCTACTGAAAACACTGCTTTATAAATTAAACAAGTACTTTTACAACCATTTACAGCACAAATAAAAGCTTCCATAGAAACAGGTTTTCTCATAAATGTTTTTTGTTACCAGATGATGACGTTATAAACAATCTAAAAAACAGGCCCTGTTTCAGAGGCTGTTGTAACAATAAATACAGGCACACAGCCTCACGTGTGCTCTGCCCTCCTGCTTTTTCTAGCACTTACCTTTGACAGAGCGGGACGTGAGCATACATGTTGCCACGGCGATCCAAAGCCACTCCATAGTAGTGCGTATGGGCCAGTCAATGGGTCACCCCTACAGACTGCACAATGTGATGCTCGGCTTTACAGCTCTGTCACTTTGTCTCGCCCACCCTCTAAAGCTGAGTGACACCCCGCGGGTCCAGTGGGAGCCGTTCAGTCTGTGCCAGCAATACAATAACTCCTAACAATAACTCACAGGTTTTCATATGCATGTTTCATTTTAAAGTGCTGTAGTATAGGAGCTGACTTCATCAGGAGGTAGAGGAGATGGTGGATGGTGTGAAACCTCAGGGAGATGCCTGTCAAGCTGCAGACAACTGTTGGAGGCCAACAAACATCAAAACTGATTGTGATTTAGTGAGTCATTGCTGTGTTGACAGCTGCTTTTCAGGCACCAAATGTGGGTGTTTTTTTAGGGACCTGTCGCTGTCTCTCCAGAGGAGGAAGTGCCATGACAAGCGGTTGTTTTTTACTGACATTGCTTCGCACCCTGAGGGATCGGGGCCATGAGAAGTGGTTGTTTTGAACCAAGACAATGCTGCGTTTCCTGCTGGGGTAATGTCACAAAAAGTGGTTGTTTCTTCTTGAGACATCACTTGGTATCCTGAGGGGATGGTGATATGAAAAGTGGTTGTTTTTAACTGACAAGTTGCTGCGTTTCCTGCCAGGGTAGTGCGACAAGCAGCTTTTATTTTGTACCGAGACATGGCTGTATATCCTGCCGGGATAGGGTGATGAAAAGCAGTTGTTTTTGACCGAGACATTGCTTTGGATCCTGAGGAGATGGGGCCGTGAAAAGCGGTTGTTTTAAACTGAGACATTGCTGCGTTTCCTCCTGAGAAAGTGCCACTAAAAATGGTATTATACCGAGACATGGCTGCATATCCTGCCAGGATAGGGTGATGAAAAGCGGTTGTTTTTGACTGAGACATCGCTTGATATCCTGAGGAGACGGGGCCATGAATAGCGGTTGTTCGTAACTCAGATATTGCTGCATATCGTGCCAGGATAGTGCCATGAAAAGCAGTTGTTTTTTACCGAGACATTGCTTCGCACCCTGAGGGATTGGGGCCATGAAAAGCGGTTGGTTTTAACCAAGACAATGTTGTGTTTCCTGCTGGCGTGGTGCCACAAAAAGCAGTTGTTTTTAATCGAGCCATCACTGCATATTCAGAGGGGATCGTGCCATGAAAAGTGATTGTTTTATACCAAGACATTGCTGCATATCCTGCCAGGATAAAGCCACAGAAAGCGGTTGTTTTTGACAGAGAAACATTTCCTGCAGGGGTTGTGTCCCCAAAACTAGGTATTTTAAGCCAGAACATGATCTCTTCCTTACCACAACCAAACGGTTTTTGTGCCTAACCCTAACCACACATTAACCACAGCATTGTTGAAAGTTTCAGTGTATGTGCTACATAGTAATGTACAAGTGCAACATCAACCATGGTTTGCAGAAAGGTACAATGCCAATATTTTTATAGGTTTTCAACAATACAAGGTGTGTGACTTACCTTTAACATTCAAACAAGGAAGAAAACATTCAAAACAATCATTAAATATCTGTATATCATTTATTAATTTCTTTATAAACTTGTATTTGCGATGGTAAAAATGCAGTCGTCTCGACCAGTGTTTTATTTTAGACAAACTGTGAGCTGTGTGGGGATCGATGTGTGAACGCAGGTCTGGAATCATTTCTTATCGTCTCGTCCTTTTTTGACTTCATGCAGACGTATTGGCAGATCAGCTCTAACAACAAGCACACACACTGTGGAACTGAACAAATGGACTTAAGAGAAAAAAAACTGAATGTGGCAAAATCAGAAGTTTCTAATTTGGTTTTGATAAATACTGTACGGCCTAACCATGGCTTCATTTCTCAGATTCAGGTCCATCTGAGCTGAGAAGTGTAGGCAGAGCTCCAAGTTGGACTTTTGGTGAGGGGGTGGATATTCTCACAACAGCTGAGGTTGTGTTACAAAACACACACACACACGCACACACACACACACAAAATCCTCATCGTCTTCCTCTTCCTCTAACGTAGAAACAGTGTAGAGTTTGAGGCGCTGCTTTTTTTAAGGCTGCTCCAATTTCTGCCTCAGCTGACACAAAGCTTAATAAACTAAAAAAAAAAAAAGGCGGATGAGAGGAACTGTAGAGATACAAAACACTAGAATGAAATCAAAGCCTGATGATGGAAAGATATCACACAAACATATAGAACATCTTCAAAAACTGTTCTCTGCTTTCTGTCACTGGACTGTATACATCACACACACATCTGTTTTTCTGACGTTTTCTCTTCAGATTAAAGTTTAAAAAGCTTGTGCACTCTGCTCTCGCTGTGCATGGGGAGTGACAGAAACGTCTGTATGAATTTTAAAACAGGATCTGCATCAGGGATGAGGATTCGGTGACAGCTTAGTGACTCTGACTTGAGCAGCTTCGCGTTCTTTGTCTTGTTGAAAATGTAACAAACAACCAGTGTGCTCAAACTTAAATGTCTATCCAGAACTAGGGGTGATACCAAAATATCTACAGATACTGAAGATCAATTCCAGCCTCGATGGGATCGATACCAAAGTAAAGGATCAGTTGTATTTCAGGAGTAAAACCGTTGTTCCGTTTCATGAACACATCCAGTGCACGTACTCTTCGCTCCTTCACTGCTGTTGTCGTATTGTGTGCACTCAAACATACAGCACACTGCGACTAGTTTAAATCAACACGCAACTGTAGTGATGGCTGAACAAATAATAAAGAACAAGAAAGAGAACTTGGAGCTGCAACAGAAAAGAAGGCAGGAGGAGGGAGATGCTGGTAGAGTCGTTTGACAGAGGCTCAAGTAAAGAATATCCAGGTATACAGTAGTGAAAATAATATTTTAGTCAAATAGGATCCTCAGCATAGGTTAATTTGACATTTTTAAACTGTAATTGGTCATTTTTAGCTGTTACTTTAGCAGATTGAGATATGCTTTAATGATCAAATGTATTGATATCAGTTTGGGAAGGTAATGTTTATTCGGATATACTGGCACTACGGGGGGAGATGATGAGACAATGGAGGCTGCTGCTGCTGCCCAGACTGGAGTCGACACCATCATCATGATGTTGCTCCAGGGACATGAGCACGCCTCAGCGAGTTAAACACACAGAGGCAGAGGTGAACCGGAATCAGAGCGGTCCGTTCAACTTCTGCCCGGGTAGCAGGAGCTAACACAGCAGCAGCGGTAACATCTGACACCGAGCCATTAAACGGTCCCGACAAACTCACACTGACACCGAAACAGCTTGATTTGGTTGTTAAACTTGTTAGGTAACGTTAGCTGTGTGATGCTAACAGTTAGCCCTGTCACTGTGCGTGTGTGCAGGGCAGGAGGACTCTAAGCATCCCTGGCGTGGAGCTCAAACTCCAGCAGCAGTAGTGCCAAGATAGAGAGGGGAAAGGAGGCGCTGGGCGAAGCAAAACTTTGCACGCAGCTCTACAATGAAATGAGATTTTACACATTTAAAAAAGTCAAAAACAAACAAACAAAAAAAAGTCATGCTCAGCCCCCACCACCCCTACTTATTAGCTAACAGCAGCAGCAGCAGCGCACTGATTCCCTTGACAAAGAGCCTACAGGATTTCTCCATTGGATTTTGGATTATTGCAGTAAATAAGTTTGATTCTAACAATGTTTTTGTTCAGCAAAATAATCTCGCCAAACAAACACTACTCTTGTGATATTTTTTAAGCATAAATGCAGTCACCAGAAGAAAAAAGCTAATGCTAGCAACTGACTTTTTAAAGACACGTAAAGGCTTCAAAATGTACGATAAGGGGTATTTACTGACAGTTTGTTACGCTGTACTACAAAATATGAAGGTCTCATAAGCTTGTGTGAACCACAGACCTTGTTTCAGGCATCTAACCAAAACCAGGAGTGCTAAAATGCTAATTCCCTTCTGGGTTTTAGGACTCATTCCTGCACCACTCTATGGTCAGTTCAAACGAGGGTCAGCTATCTGTATCTGGCATCCCTAGTATTTGTGATTCTGACCCTACATCACTTGGTGTTGGATCAAAACCAGATTTAGTGGCATCACCCACCCCTATCCAGAACAGCTTTCTGTGGATTCAAGGAACAGCTTTCTTGTTCTCACACTGATGACACAACATGGCTTAGGTACAGTAGATTTAAGCACTGTTACCAATGTTTAATGAATCTTTCTCAGTGTATTGCAGTTATGAGAAAAGATATTGACCTGACATTTCCCCTGAACAAATAACTAATTAATGCAAAAATGTATGGAAAAATTTGTTCACTCAAGAATCTGAAAAAAGTGCCTAAAATGTAAGTCTGAAAATGATCAAAGAAAACGTGCAAACACATGACTCTCTTCAGACCGGGGGCAGCTAATAAAATTATTTGAAGTCATTTTTTTTTTCTGTCTGCTTTTTTTCCTCTAAATACTGCGCTAAATCAGGATGGAAGCAGTTCCACTGAGTGTGATTTTCTCAAAAAGGGAGAGTGAGAAGAAACTAACGCACATATTAGAATCCAACTATGTTGACTATGTTGATTAGTCAAGTCCAAAAATGCATTTGATCTGGCAAACACAAGGCTGTTTCCACTGTGAGGACACGGGTGCTTCTGGCAGTATCCTGAGTCACAGACTAGCAAGTCCCAAGTCCGTGTTATCCTCTTAACGCTGTGCTCTGTACCACTGTCCATAAACGCCCCCACTGTCTCTCTTCAGCACAGGATCAGCATGTTTTAAATGGAGAAAGGGAGGTGTGAGACTGCACAGTTCAGCAGCCATCTTAGTCTTCTTTTAGCATGTGGAGCCGGAGAGGTGCTCAAACTAGCAGGTATTCAGCTGGTAAGCACCGGCCACTCCCCGGGGGCGGGCTGGCAGAGCCTCGTCTGTCTTTTACTGCCCTCACTGCGTCTGGCTTCCTCTCACTGCTGCTCCTCTTCCTCCTGGGCTGGATCCTGGGCTTGTGTCTCTCCCTGACCCTGGGGCTCGGCCGGGGCTTGTGACTGTTCCTGAGGTGGTCTAGGAGGGGGCGCAGGGGCCGGGGCTGGGACAGGTGGGCGAGGGGGAACTATGATCTGGTGTTGGCGCTGCCTGTAGGCGATGACTGTGCCTAACAGCAGGGCGATGACGGTCATGAGGTAGAGGTCCCACTCCGGGCCCAGGAGCTGGTCCAGGTCCACCTGAGAAATCAGCTCTTTTAACTGACAGGAGCCAAAGAGGGAGAGAGGATGGAAGACAAAGACACACATGATTCATTTCAGCTCTGTGATGCTTTTAACTTTGTTGAATTACAACTCAAAGTTTCTATCTCAAAGCCAAATTGTCACCACTCCAGCTCGAGCATTAAAGACGTAGTACTCACATTAAGATCCTGCAGGTACTGCAGAGTGTAAATCAGGCCCAGCTTGCACAGGGCCAAGAAAACCGGGACCTGGGCATCAGGGCTGGCTTCAGCGGCCATGTCGTAGAAACGCTTGGCTAAATGGATGTCCTGCAGAACCACATGGAACAACTCTGAATCCAGATCAGTCCAGAGACCATTAACCATACTCTGCATTTAAAAATCAATGTGACTAAGTGGACATGAGTCAAAGGTTAAGAGCAAGCTGATGTTTAATGCACTTTTTCCACTAAAATTATATGCAGGTTTTTAAATGTGGGAAAACCCACTAAAAAAGGCTGTAGACTCCTTTCCACTGCCTGGAGACCAGAGCTGTGGAGCTCTGTCGTAGATGATTACACCTCCTGTGTTAGTGTGTACTTGTGTGTCACATTAGGCGTCACAAATGACCAGAAAACAGGTTAGTAAATAGCAGAAAGCAGCATGACGGCCAGTGAAAATGTCACAGTGGTTACTTCTTTTAAAATATATCTCATACTAATTAACTCTCAGTTTCAACCTTGGTGCGGATCAATTTGAAACAAAGTCTGAGCGCTGCTTGGATGGAGACGGACGGGGTCATCTGTCCCCAAAGTAAATGCAGATTGTAACCTTTCCCATCAAATACAGAAGCCAGATGTTAGTGGGTTTTTGTCCTTACATGTGACTGTGCTCACCTGTTTGATTCCCAGACCCTTCTCATGCATGTAACCCAGGTTAAACATGGCCTGGGCACTGTGCTGCTGCTCTGAAGCCAGTCTGTAGTGGATGACCGCCGTCTCATAGTCCACATCTGTCCCGTAGCCGTAGAAGTGGTAGTCCCCTAGTTTTATCCTTGCCACAGTGTAACCTGAGGGTGAGAATTATACGCATCAACTTTTAATGCAAGCAGAAGGTTTTAGCAGCTTAATTCAACTACTTTTACTTCTGTAACCAATCACAGACGGATTCCTGCTTTAAAGAAAAAGGCCAAAATAAAAACGTGTGTGTGATGGACTGACCTTGTGCTGCAGCTCTCGTCCAGTGGAGTAAAGCACGAGGGTAGGTCTCATTCTCATTGAAGATTTTTGCTCCTTCTGTTTGTTACAACACAGACACAAAACAACATTCAAAGGTTAGCATGTTGCTTACGAAGTTGGTGGTTTGTCAATTCTTTGGGGAAATATGCATAACAAAAGACACAAGACTTTTTCTCCAAATTTGTTTCATTAGATCAGTTTTGCTATTGTTTACAAAGAACTGAAGAGACTTATGCTGATTGTGACGCTAACCCTGTGTCTAGACCGCAAACACGATGTTAGCGTCAGGCTGACGTTAAGGCAGCATTCACTTAACACAGAAACAACAGTCTACACTGGCTCTGTCTTATTCAGGCATTTCAAAGTGTCGAGCAGCAAAGGAGCAACCACACTGTCTCTGCAGTTTTCCTCCATGAAGTGAGGATCTCATACTAATGTCTCCGCCTCATAATCCTAAAGGCTTTGATAAAGTCAGAGAGAGAGAGGATTAAAAAAAAAACATGACAGAAAACTTTCTATATCACTTTTCAAAATGCTTTACGCATTAAGATGAGGATTACACAACAGACTCAGTAGAAAGGAAGAAATAAAGGAGAGAAGATGCGTCAGAATGAATCAAATCAAGGACCAAGGTCAGATAATAGGAAAAGATAAAAGTTTAATCAGGTATCAACCTCAGGTTTATGTACGTGGAGTCAAAAACATAGACTTGAAGCGCAAATAAACACGTCAGAAAGACGCAGCTGAAATGCAAATGCATAGATTAAAATGAGAGCATACCTGTTGCATGAAACACGTAAGCAACAAATGCATCTGACGTGCTCACCGTCTAAACAATGGGCAAGAAAACCTTGTTTTCATGCCCCCCCCCCCCCAAATGTTTCCTGGCATTTAAATAATGTGCTTTTCACTTTAAAACACTTTCTTTCCTTCCTGTCACGATCGTAACGTCACAGTGTTTCTTACTCTGATCCAGAATGAAGGCCACGTTGCTTTGAGCCACCTCGTAGCCCTGCTCAGCCAGCAGCAGATACTGGACCAGCGCAGCATCTGTCTCGCCCTCCTTAAAGCTGCCGTAGGCCGTCATGAGACGCTCTGACCAGCGGCCACGTTCACACACGTTCTTGAAAAGCTGCAGCAAAGACACAGACACACAGTTTGACACACGTAAGAACTGGGTCTATGGAACAGTGGCGTACACGGATGTCATAAAGAGAATGGAGCAGCAGCTTCAGGGTGTCTCACCTCCACAGCAGTGTGGCAGGAGCGCATCACACCAGTACCAGTAGCGTGCATCTGGGCCAGGTTGTAGAAGGCCAGGATGTGACCTGCCTGTGAGGCCAGGTTGAAGAATTTAAGCGCCTGCTTGTAATCACGCTTCACACCAATGCCATCTGAGGAGCGACAGGAAGAAGAGAGACAAAAACTGTGAATCAAATACAGGAGAAAAGATGTGTTCAAGTCGAAGGAAATGAGAGTGTGTGAAGAAAAAAAGAGGAAGAGAGATTCAGGGCTGGTGAAAGGCGAATCAAATCTCCAGATGCAGTTACAATATTTACCAGACAGACAACAAGGCAAGAGGAGAAACTATGACAGGAGGAGGCCGTGACACACTGTGTACCACGAGCACACACCACGCACATACAGAGACACACTCAGCCCTAAACACTCACTGTAATACATGGTGCCCAGCTGGAGTTGTCCGTCCACCCAGCCCTGCTCTGCTGCCTTCTGGAAGTATTTCAGTGCCAGCTCATAGTTCTGAAGACACAAAACACATCTTCAAACGGCTGCTCTGATTCCAGCATGAGGGAGACGCTCTATCAGCCTCGTACACCAAACCACTGTCCTGGGAATTTTAATTTTGCCTTACTCCTAATTTCACATTATCTATATTCCCTCTGCCAAAAACTGAATCTGCCAGACAGGCACAGAGTAGGCTGCAAAATAAAAATGGGTCTGAGAGTAGACATGCATTTTAAAAAGGAGTGCAGTGTGTGGAGGAGTCTTACCACAGGGACACCTCTTCCATATAGATAGGCCATGCCAAGGCCGCTCTGTCCCACTGGGTTACCCTGGGTTTAGAAGAAAAGCAGTGAGTCAGTAAAACAGACTGCAACCAAAGTATTCTGCTCTACAAAGGCTAGCTGTAGTAACAATGTTCGTCAACAGTAAATTAAGACTGAAATTAAACCTTCAGATATTTGTTTTATCTTGTGACGAAATTCCCCGAAATTCGTTCTGCTCTGAAGAAAATAGGGTGCAAAACCTGCAGGAACTACAAAACCTAAAGCAAAGCACAGTAAGTGTAGTTACTGCTCTCAGCCTTGGCTTCCAGGATATTTGGGTTCTTTCAGGTCAAGAAAATTGCAGTATCACAGCGGATGGTAGACGTAAGAATGTGGATGATGCCAACAACAAAATAAATGAACTTGACAGTGACTTTAGCAAGATCAGTGATGATATGGTAATGATAATAATAATAATAATAATAATAATAACTTTATTTATACAGCACCTTCTAAAAACAAAAGTTTACAAAGTGCTTTGACAAACAAAGCAAATGCAGGATATCTATAGCAACAGAGAGTCAAAACAGTCAGGTTAAGCAAAACAGACAGCATGATAAAGACAGAATGTTAAGAGATAAGAACAATAAAGGCAATTAAACTATTATTTCTAAATACTAGAAACAAACGAATAGAAGGATAAAAAGACAACACTGCATAATGACAATAGAATAACAAAGAATAAACAATTAAAAGGAATAGAATAAAATAAATAAAAAGAAGAATAAATAAAAAGAATAAATAAAAAGACAACATCACATAAAGGCAAGTCTATAAAAATGGGTTTTAAGAAGAGATTTTAAAGATGTTACTGATTCTGCAAGCCTTATCTCCTCAGGCAGGTCGTTTCAAAGTCGAGGGGCCCTGGTGGAAAAAGCGCGGTCGCCTTTAGATTTGTCTCGACTTTGGAACGGCCAGGAGGGCCCTGCCCGAGGATCTAAGGCTGCGTACTGGCTCATATGGGGTCAACATTTCTGCTATGTAACTTGGGGCCAGACCCAGACAGGCTTTAAAAGTGATCAGTAAAATCTTAAAATCAATTCTAAAAAGCACAGGGAGCCAATGGAGGGAAGCCAGGATTGGGGTGATGTGATGACGTCTGTTAAAACCAGTAAGAAGACTAGATGCTGCGTTCTAAACCAGTTGGAGGCGGGAGAGTGATTTATGGTTTATGCCAGAGAGGAGTGAGTTACAGTAATAGAGTCTGGAGAAGATGAATGCGTGGATTATTTTTTCTAAGTCAGAATGTGGGAGCATGGGTTTGATTTTGGAGATAGTTCTTAACTGATGGAAGCAGGCCTGGACAGCTTTATTGATATGAGGTTGGAAGTTGAGGTCTGGATCGAATATTACTCCTAAGTTTCTGGCTGCGGACTTGACATTAACAGACAGGGGACCAAGGCTATTTTCAATGGGACTGGTGGAGTTTAGGGGAGTGAACGGTATGATTTCGGATTTGGAGTTATTGAGTTGAAGAACGTTTTGGGCCATCCAACAGTTGATATCCTTGAGACAATCTAACACAGCAGCTAGGCTTCTTGGGTCATCCGGTCTCAGTGGGAGGTATGTCTGTGTGTCGTCCACATAACAATGGAAAGCCACGTTGTGGCCGCGGATGATCTGACTGAGCGGAAGCATATAAATAGAAAATAAAATTGGACCTAAAATTGAACCTTGTGGTACACCACAGGTAATCTGAGTTTTTGAGGATGTGTAATTACCTATGGTGACCGCAAAATGTTTCAGATGATACGTCATGATGATGATGATGATGATGATGATGACGTCAAGTCATCATCATTTCAGTCAACCCTGATAAAGTCAATATTACCACAAAATAATACTTCAGGGTTACTTAAAAAAAAAAAAAAAAATCCATGAATACTAGGGCTGCCCCCTGATAGTGGACCAAACATTAGTCGACAAGAATTCATTGGTCACTCGGCTGCAGAAAAACAAACCAAAAAAAAAAGGGAATCTATCAGGAGCTGCGCCTTGTCAAAATAAATCCAAACCTATATGACTGGAGCATGTGTGACTTTACTTTGAAAGGACAGACACAGGAAGTGTCCTCGTCAGGTTAATTCCCAGGGCTGGTACCTGCGGTTATTCCACAGGCTAGTTAATAACATGTCGGGCAGGAAATCCAAAGTGTGGGATCATTTTGAGAAGGTGAAGGACGAACCCAAGGTGATATGTAAACTCATCTTCATTGGTCGACTACAAACATGACGTATCATCTGAAACATGGAAGTAGCTACATGCCCATTAGCCCACAGCGTCATTAACAGGCGGCTCGCTCAGTGTGTGACGTGCACTTGGAGATAAAATATAGGCCTATATTAATGAAGGTTCATTAGTACGGTTTGTATTTCTCTGTAATGTAGCACAGTGTTAACAATGTTACTGATACTATTCTTTCTCACACCTTCAACTCAAACCACCAAAATATATCATATAATCATTACATTCATATCAGAAACATGCAGGAGACTAGTCCACTGATGGACCCTGATGAGGACTGTTGGTCCACTGATGGACCCTGATGAGGACTGTTGGTCGACTGATGGACCCTGATGAGGACTGTCGGTCCACTGATGGACCCTGATGAGGACTGTTGGTCGACTGATGGACCCTGATGAGGACTGTTGGTCCACTGATGGACCTGAATGACAACTGTTGGTCGACTAGGAAAATTCTTAGTCTACAGCTTCATTCTTACCAAGTCAGAGGCTTTCTTAAAGTACTGCAGGGCTGTCTCGTTGTTCTGAGGAAGATACTCGCTGCCTTCTGAGTACATCTGAAGGACAGAAGGATTGACATATCAAAAACCTGATGCACTGTCTTAATCAATGCACTGCACCGCCCTCTGTTAAAACAGCAATGCCAAAAGAATCATTGGCTTTTATTTATTTTGGAATTAATTTAGACCATCTCTCTGCTCTCCAACTCACTGCTTCTCCCAAGTTCTCACACAGTATGGGCGACATATTTATAATGTTTACAAACAGAGCTGTGAAACAGATGGGTGAAAATATCACATTCAAATATACACTACTAATTAGATTGTTTTAAGTAGGGGGCAATGTTCAGAAAACTTATCAGTGTAAACAGAAAGAACTGTAATAAAACTATCTTAGTACAGTGTTTAACATCTTTCCCACCAAAGAACAGAGAGACAAAAGGAATGACAGTCGTGTCACCCACCTTGCCGAGGAAAGCCATAGCGTGTGTGTTCCCCGCATTTGCAGCCTGGGTGAAGTAGTCATACGCCCTCTGTTGGATGAGAAGCATCAGGAGCATATTTAAGAGTGTAAACTACAATCACAAGAACACAGTACTTAGAATTAATCTTTGAAATAAAAGGTCACCTGATGATTCTGTTCTACTCCACGTCCTCCATGCAGGTGGAGCTGACCTAACCCCACCTATCAGGGGAAACAAAGAACATAGTTAACTTCAGTGACACATGATAAGTATTATAAATATGCAGATTACATGTCAGATTGATACTTTATACATGTGGTATATGACGCAGATAGATTTACTGCATGGCAATGAGGCCTGTCACGATAACTACTTTTGTTGTTTCAGAAAAGCAGTGACAAACAATTTTATTTTCATTTTGAGACCATTTCATGCCACTGATATGATAATAGTAGCATCATAATTAAAGCACAATCTTTCAGAGAGCAAAGGCCTTTTAATTCTTAAGAATATCCAGACATTGAAATTAGAATATGAAAAAAATATGTGACATATTTTTTAAGTAGTTAACACCTGTTAATATATATAAGAATGTCTATATAAAAGTAAGGTGCCTTTATAAGGGGAGCCTAAAATGACTCAGTTTGAGACCATACCGTATCAAATAATGGACGGGACTATCATGATGTCACCTACTGGTTTGTGGACTGCTGTTTTGAAACCTTGAGTGCAGCATTTTGGCTTACACCATCTTGGTTTTTACCAAAAAGTCAAAAGAGACCATATTTGGTTGACAGGGTGGATTTGACACATAAACAGTGGCGACGCCTTGTAGACAGCCTGCCTCAAGTGGACCCCCCTCAGATGTAGGCCGTTTTAAAGGCACTATGTGTAACAATTTCAGTTGAGACAAACAAATTTTGCAGTCAAAAGTGTGTCCTAGCACATGTGTATTTACCTCCATCAGCGTATCTAAGTATGTCTGTAAGCTCCGAAATTCTCATTTACAAATATATTGCAACCGGTGTCTCATCATGTACGTGCGCCATCTTGAAAATAAAGGTACGTATAGGGACATACTTGAGAAATACGGAATTGCCTTTTGCGTTTTCACTTGGCAAGGCAAGGCAATTTTATTTATATAGCACCATTCATACACAAGGCAATTGTCGGTTTCTGGTTTCCGCCTGCAGGTAGAGTGACGAAAAGCAGCAGCAAGCAGGCTAGTCACAAGCGCCGGTGCATTTGAAAAAAGGCAAAAAGGCAGCGTGACCGGCGATTTCAAAAAACGAGGGTCAACATCGGGGTAGCCTTTCCCAGGTGGAGAGACCTGCTGAAGGAGAATCACAGCTAACAGCGGCTCACAGCTGTTAGCGACGCAGTGTTGCGAGGAGAGGGATGAGGTGTGTGAGGTTTAGCCACTTGTCAGTTGTCAAAAGACAAGACGTGATTGGTTTGTTTCAATTTACACCCGCCCCAACAGTCCTACGTTGTAAACACAGCCAGCATGGTGAGGAGGGGGTTTGTCAACTGGCGTCGCGTGTGTCTGTGTAGGAGCCTGAATGAATACTCCATGAAGTATCGGATGACATGCTTTCATCAATGTTATCATAGCTTTTTGGTACACAGCAGCTACTGTTGTTGCAATACGCATTTGAAACAGTGAGGCGCTAGAGTGCGCTATCTGTTTGAATACAATATATAATTTCAACGTTAGATGGGTGAAATTCCTACACAGTGCCCGTTTAAGCCTTAATAAAATGTAAACCGGTGAGTTATGACAATTCCAACTGGCTGTAAACATGATTATTTCTACTGTAAAGGTGGGCATTTTAACATGGTGGTTTATGTCAGCTGACTGGCCTTTGGAGACAGCCTCAAGTGGCCATTCAAGGAACTGCACTTTTTGGCACTTGGCGTCTTTTTTCAGCCCCAGAGGTTGAGACTTGATACAATATTTGGCAAAACCAAAACCAAGTGATGCCTCTTATGATTAATAGACAAGCTTAGCAAAGCTTCAGGAACACTGCAGTTAGCCCTCTCTAGCTATGCTAACATTACCTGTGGTGTTCCCCAAGGATCGATTCTTGGCCCTTTACTTTTCTCACTCTATATGTTACCACTAGGTCAGGTTATTCGCAATTTCAACATCTCTTTCCATTTTTATGCTGATGATTCTCAAATATACCTATCTATAAATCCATCAGACCTCACCTCAGTTAACATACTCACAGCCTGTCTCACAGACATTAAAGCCTAGATGTCCAGCAACTTCCTTATGTTGAACAACGATAAGACTGAAGTGATGGTGTTTGGACCTAAACCGCACAGAGATTCTGTAACCCAGATTTTATTTTCATTAGGATTACAGTGCACTCATGAGGCTAGAAATTTAGGGGTAATCTCTGACACAGATCTGCGTTTTTCGAAACATTTTAGCAATATCACTAAGTCAGTCATCAGTCAGGAATATCGCCAAAATTAGATCCTTTCTTTCATTCAGTAATGCTCAAACACTAATCCATGCTTTTGTTTCTAGCCACTTAGATTATTGCAACTCTTTATTTACCGGACTGCCACTGAAATCCATCAACCGCCTTCAACTTATTCAAAACACTGCAGCTAGAGTTCTAACAAAAACCCGACGTATGAGCACATCTCCCCTATTCTGGCCTGATTGCACTGGTTACCGGTGGTGTTCAGAATTGATTTTAAAATTTTATTGTTTGTTTTTAAGTCCCTGAACGACCTCGCCCCATCTTACATTTCTGATCTCCTTAGCCCTTACACCCTTCCTCACACTCTCAGGTCTGCTGACCAGCTGTTACTTTTGGTCCCCAGATCCAGACTTGTGACTGAAGTGACTCTGTTTATTTTTGATCATGTAATACTGGGATGAATTGTGTATTTTGTTTTTAAGTTTGTGAAGCACTTTGTAAACTTGTTTTTTTGAAAAGTGCTATATAAATAAAGTTTATTATTATTATTATTATTGTTCTTGGAGGGTAAAACGACAATGACTTTTTTGGTTTGTTGCTAGGGGCCGGCAAGCTAACGACAACCAGGACCGTATGTCTTCAGCTCCAAACATGCAGCTGAAGGCTACCAGGAAGCTACACTCTATTGTCTTTAAGTGTTGTTTTATTTTTCTTCTGACTCGCGCAAGTAGGTGGAGTGAAGAGAACAAAAAGGGTTAATCGCTGCGCCCAAGACTTGTGAAGGTGGGAAACCCCTGACATCATGGTGGCTCAAATATTGGTGAAATTCTTATGTAAACACTCCTGCATGTAAACACAAGGGCAATACTGAGGACATAAAAGTGGTTGTCACAGCCATGCCTGTTTATCATATGATAAGTCAATAGCGTAATTATCATGACAGGCCGAATGGGAAGGTGAAATCACTTCATAATATCAGTGCAGAAATCAATGTATTAAACACAGAACATTCTTTTACCTGAGCCTGTACGTCTCCTTTCTCCGCCAAAAATTGATAGTACTGGATCAAGTCCTCCTCCAACATCCCGCTGGTAGATCCTGGATTTTCCACTTCATCCAGCAGCCTGATCCTCTGCACCGCTGAGCCCCCTGTCAGGGACACATCACTGGCCACTGCAGGCGGCGGTGGAGGGCAGAGTGGAGCAAAAACAAGTGGAAGAGAAAGAACTGTGATAAGTTTATTTGCTCGAGAGGAACCAAAACATCACACCTGGATATTATATTTTAAAAATGCAGTGAACGCTCACCCTGATTTGCCACGAGCCTGTAGTGTGTCAGCGCTGACTCACAGCTCTGAGGAACACCAACACCTCCCCAGTATCTGTACCCCTGATTAAACAAGAAGAGGAAATGTCAGGTTTTTTTGACGCAAAGGTGATAACATCTTTGTTGTTGTAATACTGACAGAAAAATCAACTCACCAGAATCATATGAGCGACCAAGTTTCCACCCAGTGCGCCGAAGGTGTAGTAAACCAAGGCCTGAGGAACACAGTGTGAATAATATGTGAACATTTATCAGAAAAAGAAACTGCATTAACATAGCATTATTATTTCACATGCTTTGGTCCAAAGTGCATTTACACTGACATGGTTTATACAGGCACAACTAAATGAAATTCAATGACTTTTTCATGCATTTTTTCATTTCCAAAGACTTAACTTGAAGCAGCTGGTTCATTTTTTAATATATTTTTTCTAAGCATAAAAAAATGATCAATGTCTCTATTTTCTTTTTTTCTAATTTGCATTTGAACGACATGAGAGCTACGGTGTTCATACTACTTCAATGCACCACTTTCTCGCACTTTGAAGTTTCATAGCGAGAGCGTGAACGTTATCACAGAATCTCACTACAACTCATCTCCACCAGCGGTTTCCTGCTGCCTGCCCTTCACCTGCTGACTGCCTGCACATGGCGCAGGAGGAGAGGGAGAGACCCCGCTGCGCTTGCCTGATATCAGACAGAACTTTCAACTCGCTACAAAAAGCACGAACAAAAGCAAATATCTTTGAAATAAAACTATCTTGCTGCTCCAACAAAAATGTTAAATCTGGCAAATCTTACAATGCAGTGTGATCCCAGTGAATATATCTCTTGTATGCTTCACTCCTCAGTAGAGGCTTTGTATAAAGCCTGGGACCCTTAGTTATAGCACATTAGACATACACTGTCATCTTCCATATTACAGTAGAGCAGTCTTCCTGTACCCTTGCCAACCTTGTTAATTTGTTGCTGCCTCTGTGTGGATGAAGGAGGTAAGAAGGGTTGGTGATGCATGTCATGCCCACTTTTTTTCTCTTATTTTTAACTACTCATTTTATTTGTCATGTCATGTCTGAGCTGTTTTGTTCTGTGTTGCTTGTAAAAAGAAATGTAATAAATATATGTTCTTAAAAAACAATTAAATAAAACTATCTGTAAGTAGCTCGAGGAAACCAAACCAGCTGGAACTTAAGTTTCAGGGAAGCTATGACATTTGAGCACCGCTGAAGACAGATGAAAACAAATGAGTGAAAAGCCGGCTCATTAAGTTAAGTCATATTAAGTTTAGCCAAGCCAACATCGGCCTGTAGGTCTAGCCAGGGTTTAAGTACAAAGAAAATACAGGACATCATAAAGGCAAAGAGAAAAGAAGAGAGAGAGGGAGAGTCACAGTCAGTGACACGACATAATTAAAAAAGAAATAAAGCTTACCGATTTCTGATTCTGAGCAATTTAATTATAATGATATGATGAACAAAAGATTGGTCAAAATATAAGACAGCATTACATGGTTCATGGCTGTTAAAAAAGAGGCTATTTTAAAGGTATTCCAGTACTTAGGACCTTGGGCAAACCCTGCAGTAAGACATAACTTAAAATAATATTTCAAATATACTCACTGATAATATTCTTAACCTGTTTACCATTTTATTTATTTTTTTTATGTTTTTTATTTTATTGATTTTTTGATGTTGTTGTTGTTGTCTGGGTTTTTTGTCTACTTTTTTTAATTTGCCTATTTGTCACAATGGTGTCTAAAATAATAAAATGAATTAAAATAAAATAAAATAAAACAAAACAATATAAAATTAAATTAAAAAATAAATAAATAAGAGACACAACTTTAGTCATAAAGAATAAGAAAAAAAGTACCTTAGCCTGACTCGAGTTAACTCCAAGTCCTGCTGCGTACAGGAAGCCAAGAGCCTGTGTAAAAGTCAACAAAGCATAATGTTACATAACTGACTCTCTGAGCACAAATTATCCGCTGTTTGATAAGACGTCAGGTCAAAACGTCTTTTCTTGGGTGACACATTAACATTTTGGATGGGATCTTTACCGTCTGTGCTTTAGGCGAGCCCTCTATGGCGAGCTTCTCAAACATTTCTCTGGCCTTGGTGACGTTCTGGTTCATGTAGTCTCCAAACAGCATGGCGTACGCCACCTTCTCCATGGCCTTCTGGTGGCCCTTCTCTGCTACCTTCTGCAGCTTTTCATATAATCTGAGAGAGTGGTTGGAGAAGCAGAGGTGGCATGAGTGAAGTTAGACTGACATGGGTATGATAAAAGTAACGTGTACACAACAAACAGGTACTGATGTGACATATAAAGCAAATAAGGATGTGCTGAGCAGAGTCACGTGGTAAAATGCAAAAAATAAATTTACAGTCACATTAGATAACGTTGCTTCCTGTGTAAACAAGGAGCTTTAGGTCATGTGATGAGTGTTCATACACCGAAGGCTACATTAGTTTAGGGTACATTTTAATTTTCTGGCTTCTTTCTTGGCTTGTGTAACCTCAGTGGTCTTCCAACAGCCCTGATGTTTTAAACAAAAACAGAGGAAATATCTGCCATCGTCAGTGTGGTTGGATCAAGCTCATTTATTTTTTCCTTGAACAAAATGACAGCACTTTTGTCATTACAGCATTTGCAATAAACAAATCCAAATGCTTCTTAGAAAAAAACACAGACGTCTTCAAGACAGAAGATTGAAAAGCAGGTTGATAAAATCAGTGGAATAAATCAGAGCGTCTAAACTCACTCTTTCTTCTGGGTCCTCCTGGTGGTGGCATTGAGCATGCGCAGCACAGTCTGATACTGCTCCTCAGCCTCCTCGGCCTGCAGCCTCTGCTGTGCCTGCTCCTCCGCTAAAAGAAGGAGAGAAGAAACCATGAGAACATGCAGATAAACCTTTGGCAGAAGAAAGGGCGAAAGCAACTCTGGAAATAAAACCATGATGTGCTCTCAGTGTGGTTTTCATCATCAGTTTCAGTAGCTGTTGAGCTTTTTCAAATGCTTTTTATTTGACGAGGAAATAATGATCGATAAACATAATCTATCTTTAATTTGTCTTAAATTAAAGACGCATCTTTACAGATTGTATCTAGTTATGTTTAAATCCTTTTACATTAACATCTGGTGTTTAAATGTGTCCTCAGTTTCCACATTATGATCCGACTGGGATCCAATCAGAGCAGTTGTAGCCATCTCCAACATTTGCTTAGCCATCGATTCATAAATGACTTGGATGTGGTATGAAGTGCCAAGTTTCGCTTGTATAGTTTTGTTGGACCAAACTGAAAGCACACATTTGGACTCGTCTTGAATCTGGCCTGTAAAGTATAACCCCTGCAGCCTCCGTGAGGGACTCTACTGGCAACGCCCCCACCTGTCAACAACTTGTGCAATAAGAACGGAAAACATAAGTTCCAATTACACAAGTTGCACATTGTGATATTGTCTGCATTTTCAGAGACAATATTAGCGTAAAAACAAAAGTTATATTTCAGAAAATCTTGCTGGTTCAGATATTTCTTTGTTATATACGTACATCTGAGCCAATCAGCAAGATTGAGAAGGCAACAACGAGGTCAATGAGGGTGAAACAGGCCTACTGATTATTAAGACAGTGATCCATGGGGAGACTGCATTATAGATGAGGGAGACGCTGCAGCAGTGTTAGCGTCAGATGAGAAAGAGACAGTCATGTGCGATCACGTACTCCCACCCATCTGTATGTACGCTTGTGTTTAACATGGTCACAATGCGCTCCTGATAGTCTGGCTGATCAGATCACAGTCTGACCTTAATGCATTGAAGGTGCCTTTACACCTGTACTTTCATGTCACCAAGCACTATCCAACTGCAATATGATCACCCAAAATCCATTTTAATATGAGGTGTAAAGGGGGTCTACAGGTTGTTACTAGTTTGTCATATTTGCTTTGGGGAAGTCTTCTTCTTATGACAGCCAACATATTAAGTTATTAAGTTAAAGACTTACTCTCACAGAAACCCCACTTCTTCTCCTGGTCATAGTCGTAGATTGTGGCGCACCACAGCCGTCCATCACCCCGTCCATCAGTGGTACAGTCGAAGTACTCCTTCCCCTGGAAGAGGAATGGGAAGATGCAGGGCTCTCCATGGGCCGTACCTCCATTCACCACAGGAACTGTATTTAAAGAAAACACATCATTATAACACATAAAGTAAAAACAACTGGATACAGTGTAATTTCATACAGAAATAAATGTCAGCACGTCTCTTGTGATTTTCTTTCTATTTCTTTTCTAACGTATTTAAAACTTTACATCAAACATACAAAGTCTGTTAATTTTACTAACTGTCACTAAATGCCCGTCTTCATACAAGCTCAAAAACACAGCCACTCATGCAGAATGGCAGCAGGCAAATTACTAACAATCCCCAAGTAAAATGATGTAACTGACTGCAAGAGGAACCACAGGTGCAAGGCGCTGTTAATTTCTCAGGGGGTTTAACCATTTATCCAATCTGGTGCTGCCCTGAAACCACACGCCGCTTCGCTCAGAGTCAGCAGAACTGAAAACAGGTTCAGCATGTCGAGAGTCATCAAAGCTCACGAAATAAAACAAGATAGTCTTCATTCTCAAGAAGACTGACTGCAGATAAGGCAAAGACGTGAGGGCATTGAGGAATCAGTAAAACTAACAGATTATCACTGCTGCAGGCCAGAAACATCAAACACACATGCTTCCATCAGAGCTGAGAAGCTGTTGTAGATTCAGACAACAGGTTGTGCAAATGCACCAATAAAATGACACCTTGATGAGAATCTTAACATCTTTACCTCAGTGACTCATAAGGAGCTAAACTCTGAAGTTTTTGAACATCAAATAATTAAAATAAGTTCAGAGCAGACAGTTGAATCTCTGAAACTGCATGCCTCAACCTCAAGTCTCACTTCATTACAAGGTTATAAACAGATGACCGGCGGCTCACCAACCCTGCCATGCTGTCTAAAGCCATGCAGGACCTTAAAGGCGGTGTCCTAGAGTTCCATCATGTTATCCATTTCAAAATTTCACACTTTTCCAGTCTCCAATTTCTTCTCGGTAGATTTTTCAGACCATGTTTGACATCCGAGTACAAACAGCTAGATTTTTGTTACGTAAATAAATTATTTTAAAATCCAACCATTAACGTGCATGTTAAATTATGAGTAAGTATGTGATTATGTTGCCAAATAACTGCCAGAAGATTGGAGCTAGTAGGGCTGACCCGAATGCTTCAACTGTTGCCATGTGAATCGACATTACAGTCCCAAATTGCCCGTGCATTAAGAAATAGTAATCCAACATAATTCATTATGCATCAATATCAGTTATTAGTTATTCAGACAAGGACATTTAAACTTAGTGACAGGCCCAGTTTTGTGACTGACAGATACGGAAACATGATGTTAAAAAACCCTTCTAGCACGTACAGTAGATTGATATTATTAGATTGGAAGCAAACGCACACTCCTGCGCATTCTGCCCTCATGAAGGATGCGATGCACCACCTACATTTGGAAAAGATGAAATTCTCCTTAACAGGGTGTGGAAACAAATTCTACCAGATCTGGCAACCCTTTATAGACCACTTTAAGAAAGCTGCACCGACTTCTTCCCCTGACTAGCCTCGTGTAAATATCAAAAAACACGGTCAACCTGACATCCTCCTAAAAAAAACAAAAAAAACAAAAAAAAACATGATGTTGAAAAAGTAAAACGTCCGGAGTAGTTTCAACATTTACGAAGATGACAACCCCAAAAAGTCAAGTGCCAGATATGCCAAAGGAAACTGGTATATAACAAATCTACACCTAGCTAGTATCAGCTCAGCCATCTTGTAAAGTATTAATATTTCTAGCTATCATGGTGAATGTAACTACGACCTTCATGCTAAAGTGTCTAACTGTCACATCATTTTAGACGCATCAGCTAAAAACTGATGTTTCAAAAAGTGTCCTCTTGTCTCTCATCCCCCTCCAAGCTTCAATTAATCCTAAATATTTCTCAAGGAAGCTTCAATGCCCCAAAGCTGGTCTTCAGGATAGCCCTCGTAGCTGCGTACTGCAGCTCATAAAAATCAATTAACTCCAAACCCAGACAAGTTCAGTGCACAGCATTTTGTTCAAGCTACTCTACTAAAACAGGGAAATGTTATTCAGAGTTTGTCATTTTAAATTAAACAACTGTATACCTTCTACCCCTACAGCAACAGAAGGGATGCTCATGTACAATTCACTAGAAAAGAGAACTTAAGTCCTTCAAAGAAAGTTGGACGACATTCCACCGTCGAATATCTCCATCCAAAAAGGAAGTGTCGTAACCAGTGCTCTCTGTCCTCATATTATGTTTCCTTAACATACTGAATGAGTAATAATATCGTGTCTCCACCCCCATATCTTTAGACTCTTTTACAAATCAAAACCATAAATTAGTTGAAAAAGTGAAATAATGTCATTTTCACGGCGTCTGTTCGGCCTTGTGTATTTGCTGTGTGCATGGACGACAGTAACGCAGCCATCAAGGTTTAGTTTCCTTACACAGAAACACCACTGCATAACTCATTAATGTTCAGATAACATTAATATTTGGTTATCTGTGATGCAAATCAAAGATACTGCCCAGTTTTCTTTCAGAGTAATTTGGTTGCAGATGCCTGGCTTTGGTTTGGTTATAAGGCATTTGGGGCAGAGCTGTTTTGCTGGCTGTGAGGTGTTGAGGCAGCTGTGCGTTCAGCTGCACGCCATACTTCTTGACTTGCTTTCAACATCCAACTGACCTGCACTCTCTTATACAGTGGTACTGGCAAAGTCTGCTTGTATGATCAGTTTATTTTTAGAAGTTCTGAATTTTTTCCCCATACTAATCCAGAACTGGAAATGACTTAAATCAAACTCCATAGTTTTCCGTACTGCGCAGGGAGCCTGAACTTCTTATTTTAAGATGCTATAAACATTAAATCTTCACAGCTGAAATGCTTGGAGCCACAGTTTCCAGTGTAGTCTAATAGATATTCCACTATTCCATCCATTTCTGGCTTTAACTGGCCAGGCAAACACTCTACTCAAAAGTCAGTCTGCCACCACTGACAGTCAGTATGCCAGCTCGTGATCTCTGTCTCGCACAGACATTTGGAGACACATAAATATGCCAAGAAAACAAACCACAGCCAAGAAAAAGCAGCGCCTGTGTTCTGTAGTTTAAAACAGAGAAGCTCAAAACTCAGCTGTAACATTCAGTAACACATGTTTAAGATTTGAGGTACCTGAGGGCATCATAACCAGTTCTTTGTTTCTGGCTGCACTGCATGAAGTATTTACAGCTCACTGTTTGAGCTTAAACTTTCGTCCTTACCCTCATTTGGTTTCTCCTCAACTGGAGAAGGCTGCTCTGGCAGGTCCTCCTTCTCCTCTCCCTCCAGTCCTTCACCAGGTAGCTTCTTCTCCTCCTCTGGCTGAGGGGCTTCATGACCAGAGGTCACAGAAGCACCAGCCACAATTTCTGACACCAGACGGACGTCTTCCTCTTCAGAGTCTGGGTCATGGTAAGACTGGAGATGTAAACAAGAAGTTATGGTTAAGAAACAGATGAAAGAGGGGAAACTGCATTGCATATTATAACAGGCTGAATACAGTTGACCAAGACAAACGCTTCAGATGGCTGTGTTACAGAAAATTAGTGATATATAGATTTCTTTTAAACTTAACAGTGATTTCTGTCAAATGTCTTGCAATGCTGTTGTCTGCTCACATCTTCTTAAATGCACTGAAAAGGTGCAACAGAGCAGAAACATTTTGGCTGCTCCGTGCCAATTTGGGTTTAAAACATTGTCATTTTCCTGATGCAATAAAGACGACAATTTGGAGGAGGCTTTTGGAAAATGGAAATCACAATTACAGTTTTTTTGAGCCAGCACCTGGACAAGATAGATCTGTTTTTCTCACTGATAAACTGCAGTTTAACAGTGTTAAAGTTACGATGACGATCAAGCACTTCCTCCTTTTTCTAAGATGAACTACATTCAAAATATATTTGAGGTAATAGCTTGGTCATCATCTCATGTAGGCAAATGATAACACAGACTAAGGCTGTAAATCATGTTAGTTTCAACCCATAGAAGACACTAGGTAGCAGATAACCCATGCATTTATACCATCAGGCGTCTGCTTCCCATCATGTCTACATTTCCAACATAACTAATGTATTTTAACCTCAGGACTTGATGTGTTGACTTGAAAACAAATAGCAACTAGCTCATGACGTACCTTTAGCTCTGGTCCTTCATTCCCGTGTTGCTCCTCGTCTGAAAAGTATTAATATGGCAGGAGTTAACACAGAGTAAACTTGAGATGGACAAAGCTGTTTGCTAAATATAAACAGCTGCCTGCAACAGTTGAAGAAACGCAGACACGTATTAACCACACCACCATATTAATCACACTCACCAGCGGTCGTTCCTTTGACGAAGACTATCAGCAGAATGGTCACTACATAAAACGTCCTTGCCGTCTTTAAACACCTTTTAAACTCCATTGTTGTTGATGTTGACAAGCTAACAGTCTGCTAGCTGTAGCTGCTGCTATTTCTATCACCACACATCCAGTTCCTGTTGAGTCACCCTGTTTGTAGCATAAATAAACTCACACACACCCAGCAGAACTAAAGTGTGTCGTCTCTGGGCGACAACTTGGTTAATTCTGGCTGCTGTAGCTGTCAAATAAGCTAACAAATGCCAATGCAAAGCGACGCTAGCAGCGTAGTAACAGTCTGAATGACGTTTAACGGTAGCTAGCTAACAAGCTAATGGTACTTAGCCACACAAAAAGACAAACCAAACAGCGTAAAATTTGCAAAAGACGTTAATCCTCGGTTGAATAATGTGGTAGCCGAGTAGCTCTTGGTACTTCAAAAACATCCGAGTTTAACAGCGACACGCAACAGCTGTATCCTTTGATTTATATTAGCCAGACACTACTTAGCTACCCATGTTAAGCCCCTACTATTGATCGACACTTCCTATTCTCGCTATTCGACCAATCACAGCGCGCCTAGTTTGACAGTAGCCAATGACCAGGCGCCAAAGACGTGTCAGCGAATCAGCTGCGTACACAATTATGTTTCTAGTTGATGGGTTTGTCCACGACATCAGAACACGTTATGAGGGAAATGATCACGGTGCAGGAGGCTGCTGTGGAGCACAGCCACGGTGAATACGGAATTTACAGCTATAAATAAATATATAAACAAATAAAATTATACGGTAAATGAAATGTGCCATGCTGCTACCTTATATAACTTAATAATGATTTATTATGTCATATTTTATCCGTTATTATAACTTGCACTACTTTATATCCTTATATTCTTACATTAACTTTCTCTTTTTGGCTCTTCGTGTTAGATTTAATTCTTCTTCTTCTTCTTCTTCTTATATAATACATCGTTGGAGGGAGCGTGTGACCCAATTTTTTCAATGTTCTTGTAATTTTTGTTCATTTGACAATAAAGAACTGTGAACCTTGAAATGCAAAAGAAATGCGTATTGTCAGGACAGCCAAGAATTATGCTGTTAATACTTTACCTGCACCACTGACAGTTATCTTCATGATACTAAAACTTGGTCACTATGCAAACACTTGAAGAGTTTTGCATAAATGAAGAGCACCAGAATAGTGGGTTGTTGTTTGTTTGTTTTTTTGTGATCAAATTTGTGTTATATTTTAAAGAAAGATATAGATAGGTATATGGACGTTACAAAAATAGAGCATAAAATATATATTCACATACATACCTATACATATGCATATATACAGATACATATGAATAAACCACTAAAATAAAATAATTAAAAAAGTAAAAT